ACGACAAATTCGGTCCTTCGGCCCTGGAGTTGTTAAGGCTCCGCGGGTTTGGCAATTCTTTCCCACGGAGTTGTCGAAGCTCCATGGGCTCTATTTGGTTCTCAGGCCCCGATGTTGTTAAGGCTCCGTGGGTTCGAAAATTGAGTATATAGGATAGGGATACGTCTAGGATTGTGCTTGGCGACGGGGAGAGGCCTGAGGCTGTTTAGACCTCTGTTGCCTTCTTAAGAAATGCGTTGGGTCCATTAGGATCCGCAGCGCTTAGAGATCTTCACGCTCTCCCTCTCGAACTCTAATTGCTCTCTCTCTCTAACTTGGACTCCAATTGCTCTCTCTCCGACTTGGGCGGAAACCACCCAAGCTCTTTATACGGCTAGCAAGCCAATCGCTAGCCGCCACGTGTGCCTATATTAAGATCGGCCAATAATGTGGCACGAATCTAAATACAAATGGCGGGAACTCCTTTGCACCGTGCATCACTATGATGCAAAAGAAATGCACCATGCAAAGAAGGCTACAAACGGCGGGAAATACTCTTTTGCACGCGGGTTCTCCTATTGCAGCAGAAAACTCTACCGTGCAAAGAAGCTGCAATTTGGCGGGAACATAATTTAGCGGTGCCGAAGCACACAAAAACAAAAAACCACAACTTTGGGTTGTGACAGGAGACAACTCCCTGGAGTTCATTGTCTAGCTGCATAGGGACCAGGCAACGCGGGTAAAGCTTTACTGCAGTTTATTTGCTCGAGCAATGACCATTAAGCCAGCAAAGAGGCAAAATGCCCCCCCCCAAAGGGAGGGGCGTTCTTTTATACTTTTTACAATAAGGCAAGACTACAGGGTTAACAAAAGCAATACTTGGGCGGTGCTTTACAAATCTTCATAACAGCATATTTCTATTTAACATTATGATAGGTTAGCAAAAACTTGCACAGTAGTAGATACTTCTTAAGGACACGATCACTGTACTTAGAACAATGGCTTCTTTGTCTTATCTTGTTCCTTGCTGTATCTGGTTTACAGCACATAGACACAGATTCACTTGCTGCATTTTACTCAAAAAATGGTTAACACAGTTAAAATGGTTACTTAACACAAGCAAAGACTTAGCTATCATTCTGCCTTGTGGTCAGCGGCATTGATAGGCCACAGGTCATGCCTTGTATTCAGCTGCAAAGCGAATACTTCTTAATAATCCAAATTATTGTTAACCTAACAGTATGCTATCAGAAAACTATTTTATTTCAGGGTAATAACAAACATGCTCACCACATCACCATTCACCCTTTTACACACAGTCATACATAAAGGCTATGCAAAGTTCATTCACTTATGTCAAGCAGAAGGATACAAAATGGAGTTTTCAAATCACTTACAGGACAAGACTAACATGGTTACATTTCACTATTATTACACTCTATGTTAACATCAGCTACATTAGTTCAGTTCATGCTACAAGTTGACCCTTTAAATTATTCCATCTCATCTAGATACAGCAAAAGCTTTGTTATCCAGCCCCCATAGGGAATGGGAGGGTGCCAGATAACCAATATGCCGGTTACCTGAGAGGACCGAATAGGCGTCTTGGCCTGTTCGGGCCACCACTCGTCCTGCCATGTCAGTGTGCCAGGGGATGGGGAGGGCAACCCCGGGCACACTGGGGAAAGGCCACTTTGCCCCAGGCTGTAGAGGCTTGGGAAAACCAGAAGCGCCACGGTGGGCACTTCTGGTTTCACTTTTGCTGTGTCAACTGGCATGCCGGTTAGTAGAGCATGACAGGTTGTAAGGTGCAGAATAACACGACTTTTACTGGAATAGCATTTGTAGCTTTGAGAGAAGATTTGGCAGTTTATACCATTTACCTTCTCTTCCACTTTGTTCCTTTCCTATAGTATTTCATCCCATATTCATGCTTTTTTTCCCTCAGGTAGCTTATTGGTGGAGCTTTTGAAAATAGCTCTGATTTCTATGCCTGAAAAATGTTGATTCTAAAAAATGCCCATGTGCTTAGATGCAGGGTTCTTTATAGAGTCTAACCATGTGCTGACGTGATGGCTTTATTTTGGAAAGTTAACATCAGCTTTAAGAAGTGAGCATTCTAAATTGCTTCCTAACAGCTGGTATTGTGTTGATCTTGCATATTATTAATGCAAAGATATAGTTATAATAATAAACCCTACCAGATGATGGGGCACTAAATTGCTAACTGAGAATGGGATGGGGAGTTGGGGGGGAAAAAAAAGTTAAGATTTCAAAGAATTGAGTGTTCCTTGAAAGAAGTTCTACTTACAGCTGTTATGGGGTCCAAGTAGTAGAGCATTAGCTGTTCCTTTCCCCCCTAAAATCTTTAGTATTTTTCTGTTTTCACACAATGAATGAATTAATATTGTCCCTCTCAAATCAATGCAGAAAAGTCCATCACTTTTGCTTTGAAATCTCCTTTTTATAAGGAAGCAAAGATAGCATAAACTATATTAGCTACCACTTTACTTATACATATTTTGCAACATAATTTCAAGAGTATGCTGTTGCTTCACTGTTCACATTTGAACATATCTGGCCCAAATAGTATTCAGATGTAGCCAGCTGTGGCAAGTACAGACTCCAATAAGTTTCCAAGAATTTTCTCTTCTACCTCCTGGTTTGTGTGTGTGTTTGTGTGTTCATAGTACTAGGCAAAGAAGAGAAGGTAGTTTAATTTGTGTAAATGTTTAAGACTTACAAATAATTGAATGACAGCAAACTTTGGATCAGAGACTTCCTGTATCCATGTAATTATAGCCTTGTTCCAATTTTTGAAAATGACCACAGTTTTACGACTACAGGCAACATGATGTGCTCCCTCAGTGTTTTGTATAAGTAAAGGCATGCTTTCCATGTGTAACAGGTTGTTTTTCAATCTGTCTACAGTCTAGATTAGATTAGCCATTAGTGCTTAACCTACTTATTTATACGTGTAACAATTATTGTAAACTCTATCCAAAGGTTTTGGGAACTACCCAGTTATTTTAGGGACTTCAAGGAGCTTTGGCCCTGCATGTACTGTGTGCATGTGCTCCTGGTCATATTAAGACTTCTTTGTTTTCTGGGAGTCTATTTGTTGCAGTGGTAACATAAAGGGAGCAAGCGAAAAAACATGGTGGTGTTAAATGTAGGTGTAGCATGAAGCTATTGCTTGCTCAATTTATAGAATGGATTTTACTCAAATTGACGCTATTTTAAAAGAAGAACATTATTATTTCTCAGGACAAGTTTGTGTGTTTTGTATGCTTATGACTGGCTTCTCTTTCAATTATTGTCATATAGCTACACCCACCCTACAGTTCGCCTGATTGACTAATATTTTAATCCTATAGAATAAGCGCATGGAATAATAGGTTTACCTTCCTTCCATTCCTAGTTCTGGTGCATTTTAAAAACAGGTTTCATAGTTCATAAACAAATGTGGATAGATCAGTTTCGAGAGAAGATCACAGACTTTCCTAATAATCTGTTGCTTTAAGGCATGCTCCTCAAACCTTTAGTTTAAACCCTGGAGTGAAATATAGTCTGTTCATATCAACTGTTCAGCTCTGGTCTCCGCATCTTCAAAGAAGATGTAGTAGAACTGGCAAAGGTATAGAGAAGGACAACCAGAATGATCAGAGGTATGGAGCAGCTGTTATGCTGGGAGGCTAAAAAGGCTAGGACTCTTCAGTCTGGAAAGGAAAAGGCTGAGGATGCTAGAGATCTAAAATCATAGATGGTGTGGACAAAGTGAAAAGGGAACTGTTACGCACCAAGTCCCGGAATGCTAGGACTCTAGGAGAAGGGAACCCATGGACACAAGTTTGAAACTAACTAGAGAAAGTACTTTTTATGCCTGCATAGTTAACTTGTGGAACTCATTGCCACAGGAGATGGCAGAAGAAGATATATTATAGCTAGGTTCAAGAAGGGACAGACAGATTCAGGGATGATATATTCATTAATAGTTGTTAAATAGAACAGTCAGGTATGTGTCCTCTGGCACCTCTAAAACAATGATGGTGGATGCCAAGGAGAGTATGGCAGGGGATAACTCACTCTAGAGGTCCCTGTGCATATGGTCTCTCTAAAGTATCCACTCCTGCCACTGTCCAGGTCAGGATACTAGGCTAGATGGACCTTTAGTTTGAACCCAGTATAGTTCTTAGGTTCTCATGTTTTTATCAGCTTGTTCTTGTGTGTTTTTGCTTTGTTGTTTTTAAAAAAAGAGGGAGATTTTTATAAGTGTCTGACTTGAAAGCATAAAGTTATGGCATCTGTGTTCCTGGATCATTAAGGAAGTATTTAAAATAACATTCTGTTCTGAAGGTCTGTCAGGGGCTTCTTATAAATGAGCTTATCTGCTCTTAATAATGTCAGATATGTGAAAAAGAGCTGGCCAGATTGTTGGTCAGAGCAGTCTTTGTTTGCCCTTTTCTCTCTAAACTGACCAAGTGTTGATTCATTTTGCTGGAGGGGAAAAAGAATGAGTTCATACTTTTAGATTACTGTGGCCCATATAATTTGAAGTGTGAAAATGATTGATAGTACAGAGGTGATTTAAAAAAATTAAAAAAGCCTGTTTTTCTTCATTTGCTCTGTCACCCACAAATTGGCTTGGCTTTTTTTATATATTTTCCTAGTCGGACTTTTCCCCCCTTTCTTCTATATCTCTGTTTTCAGTGTTTCTAGGCCAAGAGCTGTTAAAAGCATATTCCAGCCTGCTAAAGCTTGGCCTTTGTTTGCCACCATTGTTGGTTGTCCATTGGCTTCAATGCTGAGGCAAAGTATAGCTGCAGCAGACCATCAGCATACCCCTAGTTATTATAATGGAAAAATACTGCTAGTTTTAATTAAGTGTGATATAATTGTCTAGTCTGTCTGTCGCACACATCCAGGCCCTCTGAAGAACAGTTTTGCTTTGCTTCTGTCACACACTGTGATTACTGAGAGGAAGTAAGCTGATGGTGCTATTTTCTTTTTCCCCTTGGCAGGTAGGAGCTGGATGGATTGGGAAATGTAAGTACTCCATGTTACAGCATTGTTGTCCTTTAGGTATTTTTAGTTAATACACAATCTGTAATAGCTCCATGCCACTCTTTCTCCAGTGACCATTGCTAATAAACACGTAAGGGGAAGAATGTTGTTACAGAGCAGGGGCTACGAGGGCTGCGTTTTCTGAATAAGAAGCAAATTTTGTTTCAAGAAAATGAAGGGTATAAACTGCAAGCCAGACCTTTGTTGGGCATAAGTAGGCATTTGCTTCATTCATTTGAATAGTTGAGTTATCAAGTGCCTGTGAAAGATTTGGCTAAATCTTTAATGGTAAAAACAAATGAATATATCAACAGAGGGGTAGCATCATTTACATTAGATGCCCATGCTTTTATATCCTGTTCTATGTGTTCATTACAAAGATGTCCAAAAAAAATTCCTAGCTGAAAGTAAGATGCTTCATAACTGTTTTTACACTGACAAGTATTTGACAACTTCTTCGAAAAGAAAAAATATCCCCATTGTTATTTGAACAATTTGGAATTTCAGCTGATTTCTGATCAATTCTGATGTTTTGATGGGCTTGTCCCTCGGTCATTTATTTCTTCTTCGCTGCTTATTTTACTCTTTAAACAGAATGGAGGGTAGCATAAAGTCGCACACTGCTCTGCACAAAGTTATTTGAGGCAGATGGCTGTTCACCCAACTGTGGCCTTTGGCTTCTATTAAAGAGAAAAGACTATAGCATCACAGTAGTTACTCCCTCTTTTCAGGAACCATTTTTGTAATACATCATAGTAAATGGTATGAACTGCTGCTAACAGACTTCAAACTATCAGCAAAGACACCTAGTCTTCGTCTGTTAGCAATCTGCTAATACAGCCAACAACTTTACCATTTGAAAAATGAAACGTAGATTGGTAGAGGTCAAAGAAATCTGTAGCCTGCAACAGTTGGCTTTGTTTTTACCTTCTTTGTGATCTCTAAAAAGGGAGATTGGGAGCATGACTGTTTGATAAGATGATGTTAGAAACTTTTTCCTTGAGTTTGAGTTTAAAAATCCCTTGTTTTGAGACTTGTGGCACCAGTCCAAGTCCTTAAGCTCACTGTTGATGGAGAAAAGTTGTCCCTCTTGGAATTCACCTCCATCTTCCCAAGCCTCTCCAGAAACTAACAGAGCAACAATGGTCTAATCCCCTAAGAGACCTTGTATAGATTCAATGTACATTGACCCAATGTACTCACTCTAGTAAAAAACCTAAGTTATAGCTTATGGTGTGATGTACAAATACTGAAATAATATATTAAACATTATTTAAACATTTTAAATAACACGTCTGTGCTTTTTTTAATTTAAAAAGGTAACGGTCTGGTTTTCAAAGTGTCAACTAAAGCAAAAGGGCATTTTTAATTCAATAATATCTAATCCTGTGAGTTAGGTCAGAGACGTTATAACTTAGGTTTTTCCCCATTTTAGGCATTTTTAGTTCTTTAAAAATGGTTTGGCAGTTTGTCTTAGTGACCAGTTCTTTGAACTCTGTGATCAATGTCTTCAATTTTCACTGTTTTATTAGTACGCTGGGAGCGAGCTCAGGGTGCCATCGTCCGAGAGAAGACTCTTCCAATGACTCCAGAGGCTGTACAAGATAAATGGGGGAAGATCTGTGACTTTGATAATGCCAGCAAGCCCCGGACCATCCAAGGTAAAGGAGATGTTTGGTATAATAAAACAGTCTGAGGAAATAGACTAAAAGAGATTTCCTTTCCAAGAAGACTTTTACAGAAACATTTAGGTTTGCTTATTTTTAATAAAAAAAAAAAAAAAAAAGCCTGATGAATCAGTTTAATTTTTTTCCTTCAGTTGTGTAGTATAATCATGAGTATTTTAGTAGAGTCAGTTCTTTTTAAGACCACCGCTGTGCTTTTTCAGTTTCAGTATTTAGGGGTAGAAAGGATGTCACTTCCCCAGGGCTTTCATAGGAATACTTAAGCCATGCAGTTTAAGAATTAAACTTGGTTTAGTTTAAGAATTAAAATTGGACTAAAGATCATTTCGTGTTTCCTGGAAAGCAAAAGCAGGTGGGGGCAATATGTTTGTGTCCTTGACATTTGCTGATGGAATGTAGGTTACTTGTGGAAATCTCAGTGAGGAAAAAATCTTTGTTTAAGGAGTCCTCTGGTAAGAAACTGGAGTGGAGATATCCCGTCTTCCCTTTTTTCCCTGCAATCCTGAGTGACCTCCACTTCTGGTGATGACCCTTCTGACTTTATTACTCTGTGGTGTTTCATCCTTGTTTGACTTTGCAGTTTTGGAATCTGCATGCCCCTTTGTAGCAAAAGCAGTTATCCTTTCTTGTAAAGCAATTCCTGTCTCCACTTTTTAAATCCAATCTGACAGTGGTATCTTTACTTGCCCACCTCGCCTCCCTTTCCACCTCTCCTCTACACTCTTCCTTTCCTTCAGACAGTTTTGGATTACCTTCCTTAAAGAAACTACCCTTTGACTTATACATTCAGATTTTGATTGTTCCTTTTTCCTAAGTGTAAAATATATGCTTGCTGCTCTGGTTAGCTGTAAAGAAAACCCAACTCCTTGGGTTCCCTGTTTTTATCCTTTAAGTTTATCAAAATAGTTCTTGCTTATGTCCTTGACCTTCATCTGTCCATGTTCAGGATTCTTTTCCACTCTCATGTTATTTGAATTACTTTAACAGCCTTTTTAAACTATTTTCATTCTTCCCTATATGCAGGCTCTTGACAGGTCTTGTTCCGCCCTTTGTAAAAATGTATGTGGTCTTCTCCTGTTCAGTGATTGAGTCTCTTCTTATCTCTGACACTGTAAGCTCTTTTCTGGTCTTGTAGATCAAATGTTTAAGCAGAATTTTATTGCCTTGTGCTACCTTGTTTAAAAAAAAATGAGAGAAGATATTACTGAGTCAAGAGTAGGAGGGCTCTTCGGTCAGTGCCAGCCCTGTCAAATCTCTCTTATTGAGTGTGAAGTTTCTAAATGTTAATGCGCCTGCCTTGTGGGCAGTGCTTTTGGTTTTTTGTGGGGTTTTTTTGGGGGGGGGGTTTATTAAAAAATCCCCAAAACTTCAACCACCATTGGGGGCTTACATTATTTATGTAGTATCTGTTTGCTCAGCATTGTACTAGATAGAGGAAAACATAGCTCCTGTCTTAAAGAGTTCACAATCTAAGTTGAGCAGGAAATATTGTTCAGAAACAACTTCAAAGTGCTGAACTTCTATCTTAACAGACTTTTTAATAGTTTTTACTTTTTTTACAACATTTTTAAAGAAGACTTTCCAAACCATTAAGTCAGTGGTAATTACAGTGGTTTAGCATTTTTGGGGATTTGCCCTGAGCATGTAGACAGTAATTGGGATCAAGTATTTGTCAGACCTGTAATAGTAATAGACTGAGATAAAAGATGTGTAAGGGTAGAGGGGCTCCTCTTTTCAGTGGCAATGCCCTGTTTAAAATTAAGGACCAGATTTTTTTCAAAGGTATTTTGGTGCTTTGAAGAATTTTGCTAAGTACCTTAGTGAGTTGGGCAGTGCACTCTCACTTTTGAAAACCTATTGCAGTTTTAGGCACCTAAAATCTGACTTCTATTTTCTGACCTCTACAGGGAATGTCCTGGGATCCCTGCAGCAGTTCTGTCCTAATAACTTACTCAATGCTTCATTTTACTAGCCTCTGGCTAGCACTGGTGTCTCCTCTTTTTCAATAATGTATTAAAAAAAAAAAAAAAAAGGCACTCACTCAAGCAGCTATTTCTCTGCCTGTAAAATGCTGCTTGTGACTATAGGTGGCACAGCATCATTCCACCCCTATAATTACTTCCTTTGGTTAGAGCTATAATTGCTTCCTCTGGCTAGAGCCTTAACTCCTGATTTGCATTGGTTTTGCATGTTTTGAGCTGAACAGGAAGCTGCAGGATGTCCATTAAAAGGGCTGTTGTAGGAGCAGAGCTAGTGGTGTAGGTTGAATGTAAACCTCATTCGAACATTGCTGTCGCTTTTAAGCGCTTGCTTATGTGAGTGTCAAGAGAGGTGATCCTTGACTTTTGGATTATATAATCTAAATGATTGGATAAAATGTAGTGGGCGACCAAGTGGGTACTTTTGCTTTTGCAGGTACCAGGTTGAAAGTATTTTAATAGCATGGTTCTCTCAGCCCAATAACATCTCTTCCGTGCTTCAGAATTGTGTTCTAAAAATGACTTGTGTCAAGTATTCAGCCTTGACTTCTCAGCGCTGTTAAGTTTGAGGCACAGCTAGGCTGTGTGTGTGAGAGATCTGTTGCTTAATCTTCTGCGACTGTGAAAATCAGCAAAAGAGTGGAGGAAAACTAAAGGAATTTGATATACTGAAAAATTAAAATTTATTTGCCTGATATATTAGAAAGTTTTCCCGAGTATACACCTCCCCTCTTTAGTGCCTAAAGGCATTCAACTGTTAAATAAGGGAACCTAATTAGAGTACTTGGATTTAAAAGTGAAAATTTACAGTACCTTTATATCTGCAAGTTCAAGTTCTCCCAGAAGATTTCATTAAAATCTATTACCAGCATTAATTTAAGTAATTTGATGCTGTGAAAAGCAATTATGTACTAAACCCATTATGTATAATTATAAAAAAAAAAAAAAATACCAATTAGCTAAAGCACTTGCCTGTAATTTACAAAAATGTCTTATAACCAGAGATGTGAATCTTGATTCATAATCATTATATAAATTTCGACATTCTGATAGGAGTGGCCTGACTTTTAATTCCTTCTAGGTTATAAAGTGTAGAAGATGGTGCCATATATCATTTGACAGCTCATTTTCTCCACATTTATAATGATCTTTGGGACCTACAGCACTGATGCTGTGAGGTGGCACTGACCTATGTGTAACCCATATACAGATATGGTATTTTTTAGATCTGTTAGAATTATATTATTTTATAAAGACACGCTTTTAATGGAACGAATTTATTTTTCAGTATAAATGCTTTAAAATTCCAGTATCTAATGTGTCAGTGACAACCTGCGTAGATTCCAGTCTAGTGAAGGACTTTACCATAGGCTTAATTTTAATCATATGCTTAACTGCATTTCTGGATGGAGGCCCAAGTCACAGATGCAATGAGTTCAGTCAATTGATAGCAGGAAGTATTATTTTAGAAAGGTCATTTTTTGCTCCCCTGTTTCTTTTATCTGTTGCTGTCATGTCTAAAGGCCCAATGGCCTCACCTGGTAGGCACTACAGAAGTGCTGGGCCATGCCTTGAAAAGTTAGATCCAAGCATACAAAGCAGCCAGAGGTGGGGAAAGGGGTGTGCATGTCATGGTGGCATTATAACATGAAGTTTTGGCCTCAAAACTTCACCCCACCCCACAAATCATTTTTGAAGTTCTGTAATGTAAACAAAAAGTAAATAAAATACAGGATGTTCTGTAGTATAGATTATGGTGGACAGTGGGTAGGAAAGGGTAGGAAAAATGGGGACAGGAAGACGGCAAGGAGAGTAGTTGAATCAGACTTGAAGTACAGAGAATGAGGAAGAAAGTAGGGCATAACTTGAATAATGCCCCTTAGAAAAATCTATGGATATCACCAACTTGTACTTATGTACCTGCAACATTTTTTTACCTTGTCTTCTAAATGCATGGGCATTGCCCACTAGGGAAAAATTGAGAGAACTGACAGATGTTTTCGCTCAATGCATGCATAGAAGTTGCTCAGATATTATGATGAGTGCATATAAGAACCTGTCTATAGAAGAACATTCTGTAAAGGAGACTAAGGATAGAAACTGAGCAGCAGAGACCAGAGAATACTCCGAGCCAAAAATTAAAGCAGTGTTACAGTAATAGTGTCTAAAAGTATCTGCTGTGGCTTCTTCTCTTTGTTCGTTTTGGCTGAGGTGCCCTGGCTCTGTCCTGAAAGTTTTCTTCCGCAAAGCAGATGGACATAGACTGGTGCCTCTGACTAAAAAAGGGAGGTAGGGCTAAGTCTTGTACATGTAATTCTCATCTGTCTCTTTAGTTGTGTGTGTGTCATGTGGCGCAAGTTTTATGCCTTCGCATCCTTTTCTTTTAATATTCTGGATACCATCTGCTATATACATTAAATACTTTCTCTTTTTAGAAACCTAGGTCTGAGGGCAGGCTTTTTTAATGTATTAATATATTAACTCAAACCCCATATAACTACTCAAATTAATGTTCTTTTTTTTGCCGTAATATAATCTCCTTCTATACTTTGTCAGGAACAAAAAGATGCTGTTTATATTTCCAACATGAAAATGTAGAAGTTAAAGTTAAATTTTTTTTTTTTTTCTTGTGAAGAAACATGGCAAAAATCTGCAGTGACTTATAGGATCAAATCACCATTCAAGAATCAGTGTTTGTTTTTTTTTCCCCAAAAGTTAAGTGGACCGCCTTGCTTCCATTTACTTATTTATATTACATCACCATAAAGTGAATCAGTGACCTCACAGAATATCTTCTGACTTTCAAGCGTTGAACTTCACAATTTAAAAACAGTTTTAGTGTATTTATGCTTTACAGAGTACCAACTGTGGCTAAGATACTACAACTAGAAGCAAAGAAATATTTATCTGTAGTAAGAATTGTGATACAGCTCAGAGGTAGTTCACGACAAAATGTATTTAATGTCAGTGTGTTGTGTGTAGTAATGCATCTTCTTA